AGTGGTGTCAACCATAACCTGTTTTTTTTTACTTGTCTCTTTGGCAGAGGTTTCTGCATCTTCCACGATTGTTATATTTTACAGCGGCCTTATCGACTACCATTCAGTTATCACAACTACATATTTTTGAGTCCCCAGTACTCTCCAGATTCCTCACATAGTTTTGGGTAGTTGGTCCCAAATGACCATTCCAGTTACCTAACAGGTAGATTCAGGTTACGTGTTCTTTCTCTACACTTGTTTGTCCCTGACTCTTGTATGCCATGTATCTCCTTTACCTGCAGGTTTATTTTTCGTGGCTGATAACCTATGGACATCACCTGTCTGAATGATTTGCACTATTTGTCCACAGACAACTTTCTCATTTTCTCTACATCCTCAGATCAGTTCTTCTTACCCAACGCACTGTCAAACAGGAAAAGGGGTTCAATTCTTTTCTGTGATTCGTCTGCTCACTCTTTCTCTCTGTGCTCAATGAGATTTTGTTATTGGTAATGTTCATTGAGTGTCTTGAAGGTTTTGTTGCCTGCATTTATACCTTTAGAAACACTTTATTCTGGGCTCTCTTTGAAGGCGAGGTATTTTCTGTGCATCACATCTAATCAGATTTCTCTTTTCTATGCCCTTAGCAACCCAGTTGATTTGACTACAAGAGGTCACTGTATGGACTGGCATGTGGACCTCCCCCAATACCTTTATCTCATATTATTTGTCTGATCTGGCAGTCTCTTCATCTGAGGGTTTTTGCCTACCCCCTGTAGCTATCTTAACTATTTCTGCTAGATTATCCAAAGGGATGAGTATTATTATTTCTACCTTTCAGGGTCTCTTACCTTGTTTTCACAGGATCCCACTTTGTGGTGAGTGTTACCCAGACAGGTGTGCTTTTATCAAACCAGTTCTGCACTATTTCACTATAATTACTACTGGTTGCAACAGGCTCTGTAGAAATGAAGTGTTCCATAAGAACACGTAGGAGCTCACCAGTTGGTATTACCTTACTGTGCTGGAGTGCCACTCATGAATAAAGCTAAAGGGGAACCTGCACGTCCCTGCCAATCATCAGGTGGAATAAATTAGGGTGGGTTTGCTTTTAAAAATTTAGGGAACTTGGTTCACTTATTGCATTGTTTTCAGAGCACTGTTCCTCAGGACCCCAATGTACATTACCCTTGAGATTCTATTAGTGACATGAGGTGCAAATACTTGGTGGTCAGTCATGTCTTTTTTCCACTTATCCCTGTTACATGTTGGCTCATTTTGTTTTCCTCCTTTCGTACTTTCATCGAACAAAATGTATACTCTGCATGAGATGGCTGCAGTCTCCCATTAGTGTTACGTACCCATTGTAGGTGTCACACTCTATGGGCTTTTCCATTCAGTCACCTTCTCTGAAAGGAGCTCATCTAGGTTTTTGAATTTGCACCAGCTCCTCCAACATATCACTCTGGGGTTCTGTCTACTGTATGCAGAGAGGTAAGAATAATGTTTTATAAGTTAATATTTCCTTACCTGAAAATGTATTTCCAATAGATACCTCTCTGTACATCTTCCAGTCCTTCCTTCCCACTACTGGTGCTCATTATTCTTGTCTTGTCTAAGTACAAAGTTAATTTTGAGTGCAAGTGTTTATGTGGGTCTATTACACATGGAGAATGTGTCACCTTCCTGCTGGGAGAGGGCTGTTGTTACATGGTGGTTACATCATGCATTAGCACAGTTCACATTATAACACACGTCTTAACTGGGAAGTAGCTCATGCACAAAACTTCAAAGGCAGGCGAGTGAGGAATAGTTACTGTGTGTAGGTAAGAATCCATTAGAATACATTGTAATAGTAACCTGAAAATTATTACTTTCTCCTTGAGAACTACAAACCATGGTGTTAGTGTCAGTATAATCTGATATATAGACAGCTGTTATATGATATGGATTTTGGTAATGCAGGAAAGAAGTTTTTTAAAATATACTTGAAGGAGTAAAAAAAATTGAACCAGTGATCATCTTCTTGTATCTATCATACAAGTAGTTAAGAATTTAACCCTATCACCACAGGTATCCTTTAATGCGCATGACACAAGGTTTTAGTGTTTTACATTCAAAATTTTATTAAACTACTTTTTGTTTATGTTATACCAATTAGAATAGCATAAAATCT